CTGCGGCAATCACTTGCCGATTAGTTTCTCTCTTGTTCAGCATTGGAGCTTTCTCATGAGTGAAGTGAGCCAAATTCAATATCGTAAGATAAAACATTATCTTTGGTTACCATCTTTTAAACTTATTTCCATTGAATTTTTGCTGGCTTTTCCCCATGATTTACTGGTACTGCCAGAGTCATTGCTGGCACAATGGGTGTAGGGGTCGGGGTACGAATAATCTCAGTACTGTTTGTTTTAGTAGTCATATTTCTGACGAAATAATTATTGCACCCATCACAAATTTATACAGAATAGAATTTACACACAAAATATACAGAATGATATTTTGTAACAAAATTCCAATGATAAACAGTATATGACTACTATGTTATCAAAGAAATCATTAAACAGTATATTATTACTATCTAAGAAATTAAACAGTATATGACTACTATTTAATTTCCCGAAACAAAATATTCTTTTGTTTAACACACAAATTTACAAAAAAATAAATAAATAAATAAAAATAAATCTATTTTAAGATTGTTACTACCGAGTGGTTATGTCTGTAATTAAATAAACAACAAAAATAATCCAAAACATAATTAAATAAATTAAATTCCGGATTAATTGCTTACAGAAATTATAAGTCAAGGCTTATGTTGGACACAATCTCCTTAAAATAGATTTCGCCCTTACTCCGATGCTTTGAGATTTACTAGCGTCTACTTCCTAGGATGCAATGACTACTACTTGGTTTGCAGCACTATAAATCCAAGTCTGGTGAACCAAAACTATGTTGTTACTCTTTTTTTTTCTTCCTAAAATTAAATGGTAGACAAATGCAGAAAACAGAAAGATAGAAAGTGAAGAAGAAAAATGAAATGCTCAGGGAAAATTGGATAAATTAAATGTTAGAATGGCAGGCTATTTATAGAAGAACATGTAGCTTTTTAGAACAGGTTTCAACAAGTAGAAACCTGTTCGAAACAGAAACAGATCAGTTTAGGTGGAGTTTAACATGTATGAACCTGTTCAGGTAGAGAAAAAAAATGGACAGATTTATTTTGAATTTTGAAACTGAAATTCAAAAATAAATAAATAAAATACAAATATTTTTGGCCCAAAAAGATAAGTATTGGGTCAGACAAACCTAACCCAATCTCACACCTGCACCCAAGTCTGCTTGAACGGACGGTGGCGGCGGCGGCGCGCGGGTGTGTTTTGGGTCCCATAGGTCTATCTCACATTACCCATAACCTCACCCTTTCACAAAACTTGGGTACCCGTTGGGGCCCATCTCAAGTATGGCAAGTTAGAGTTTATATACTCATTTAAATCCTTATCTCTTTCCAATCTGGGATAAGCATCTTTCACAAATGTGTAGGAAACCTACCTAAAACCATTTCCATCAACCAAAAAATACACGTTGAATTCTCATTTATCTGGAAATGATTTTGAGAAACTAAATACACGATGTTATTCACTACGTGACATTAAACATGAACCCAATTAGAATCGTTAAAAATAACGCTGTTGGCTTTTTGGCTTTCGAAGGTTATTATTGTAATTGCGAGCGTGCCAGCAAGGATCAATCAGTCCTTACAGAAATTTAATTGCCAATCAAGTATCAGACGATTGTGTTTTAGTTCTCTCAGCCTCAATGAAGAGGACTTTTACTGGTGGCTTGATTTAGGAGAATTAAGCAAAATATCAATCAAATAAAGAACAATTGAAGCATTTCATTAGAATGAAAAACTTACAATGATTCAAATTCAGCCTCGTAGAGGTTTACAGTGACAATCTACTTGAAACTACTCCTATGAATGAAGTGCAGTGTAGAATTTAAAGTACTGGAATGTAAAGAACAAGAAATGTAAAACTAAGTAAAGTAGAATAAGACTGGTTTTTGGATCTGAGTCTAGGGGGCTTCTCTGGGGCCTTCTCTGCTATTTATACTGCTTAAGGATAACCATTGAACTGTATTTCCAACGGTCGAACTGCTCCTCCATGATCGCTGATCATGTTGCCTCAAGATTAGCTCCATTACGCCATCACTTGCAGCTAGGCTTCCCTCTTAAATTTGGATTCAAATGTGAGTAACCGATGATGCCACATCACTTTGTATCTCTCTGCTGATCCACTGCTGCTCAGATCTCGTAACAACCAATACTAACTGCCACGTGTACGATCAGGATCGAAGATTTGAATAGTCTTCCCGTACTACCCTTACTTTGCCACGCGTCGAATTGTAACTGACTTGTACAAAATATATAGCCAACGAATATATAATATTATTAATAGTAGTGTTAATCTGCCAATCTGTTTCCTAGTGTATGTACTGGAATATTTTGACCAATACTTGACAATCAGTTTTAACAATATTATATTTTATCCTATAGTCCACAGCCCAACATATAGCTTCCAAACAAGCTTTAGCTTCGGCCACCGGTGGATTTGTCCATTGATTGAAGCCATCGGTCAACAGCAATGTTTTCAACTTTTGCAACTAATCTGATAATTGTCAATGAATATTCTGGATGCATTTGAGCCAGTCACATGTCACGTTGAATAATTTTTCATTTTTTGGATAAATCGGAACGTTTTTTTTTAAAGAAATATTTTATGTTTGTTAGTGTATCATTATCATTATGTTAGTGTAGTGCATTATGTTAGTGTATCATTAAAAGGGCAAAATCTAGTATCCTGAAATCTCTTGGGTATTCATGTACCCTATCTACCCATTCTGGGTATGATTTTCTGTACACAGGAGTCTGGACCCCCCGAGCCATC